CCTGACAGGCCATTTCTCTTCGAGCTGTGAGGATCGTCCAGCCCCTCCCTTTTTTCTTTCACCATCTGGAGGGGGTCTTGTTTTCGGCCAATGCACTTTAAGTCTAGTAAGAGGAGGGCACGATTGCCTGGTCTCCTCGTCTTCGCATAAACTGGGGGAACGCCAGGACTGGACACCTGATGGAAGAAGGAGGCGTTCCTCAGAAATTAAGCTCAGCCTACAACAGCAGAGACTGAAGCTCCACCCACTATCTGGATGATCCTCACAGCTCGAAGAGAAATGGCGTGTCAGGTAAGAACCAACGCCCATTATGCACGCCCCCTCTACTGACCACTTAAGGATAAAGTAAGGGCCACGGAAGTCAATTTGTGACTGAAACTGTGAAAACTGAATCATGTAGGACATTCCAGACTTCGACAACTCTATTACATTCTCTCCTCTTCCATTCTTCTTTTCCCAATTACTAACCAATACTTAAACATTTATGCTGTGCTTTTAATATTTAATATTAAACATAGGAAATCTTTGTTTATATGTATTTAAATGATTTCACTATTGTTTTTAATTAGTCTATTAACTCTTCATAGAAATTGTATTTCAATTGTATAAATCTACTTTGCTATGTAATGTTTTCTATAAAGGGGAATCGTTCCTGCTTGATTTAGTCAAACTTCTATTATGAGTATACACTGTCAGTTTTGCTGTGGTGAAATATTCATCAATTTTGGTCTCTCAATCTTATATCTTCAACAGTTTTACTTTTCTAATATTTTGCCAGATTCATTCTTTTGCTATCAGTGTTGAACATATTTAATACTCGTTTCTCCCCCCCACAACAACAGCTCTGTGAGGTGGGTTGGGCTGAAAGAGGGTGACTGGCCAAAACTCACTAAGCTGTCGTCTTTCATGCCTAAGGTGGGCCTAGTGCTCTTAGTCTTCTGGTTTCTAGCCTGGTGCCTTAACTACTAGACCAAACTGTCTTTGAAGCTATAATACTTTCCATTTATACTTTCTAGAATTATTCTCAATATTTGTGGTTTCAGTTAAAATTTTATTTTCAACATTTTATGAATTTCCTTCTAATATATTTATTTATTTCTTAAATTCATATGGCCACCCATCTCACAGGAAGCTACTCTGGAGAGAGTATAACAAAAAATAAAACATGTCAAAAACAATAGTGTTGAACTAAAAACATATAAGAGATTAGACCAGCAAAGGAGCCACCTCAAGACCTCTAGGCCTGATGATGTAGCCAGGTCTTGAGGGAGTTCTGGAAAATAAGTAGGAATTGAGAAGTTAACACTTCATGAGGGATAATATTCCATAAAGGGGTACCTTGCTAGAAAAGGTCTATTCCTTGGGCTCATTGTGTTTTACCTGGCAGGTGGGACCCACAGCATGCCTGTCATGCCAGATAAGATGGGATGAGTAGATGTAGTTGGGATAAGGTGATTCTTCAGATAACCTAGTCCTATGCCATGAAGAGTTTTAAAGGTCAAAACCCGCACCTTGAATTGGACTCAGAAGCAAACTGGCAATCAATTGAACTCTTGGAGTGGAGGCGTAATATAGTTTGTTCTAGAACTACACATATAGCTGTCCATGCCACTGCATTTTGTACCAGGTGAAGTTTCTGAATATTCTTCAAGGGCCCCCCATGTTGAGGACATTACAGTAATCCAGTCAGGTAGTGACTAGGGCATGAGTGTGTCTTTGTTTTGAATGACTGCATGTGATAAAATATTCCTTTTTATTGGGGCATTTTCAACATCTATTGGTACATTATTTGCCCATCTTGGTAATAATTGGTGGCCTTACATACCATCTGTAAAATATTTTATATCAAATTTCCATCAGATTATACCTTTTGAGTGAATTTTGATTTTTTCCCCATAACTTTTCCCATTATTCCACTATTTTTTTGAAATTTTGCATCCAATTTATCATCTAGTTTTTAATTTGTTCCATCTCTGTTCATGTCTCAATAGCAATTTATAAATGCTTCCCAATAGATGAACTTGATTCTATATAAGACTTTTATTAATGATAGAGATTACCTTATCTTTCAGCAAAATAGCTCGATAAACTGGAAGACATACTTCATACTTCCCTCATGATTCCAGGAGTAGGGCCAGTGGTGAAGAAACTTAGCTTTATTTCCTATTTGTGTCTAGAATAGACTTTCTGTTTAGGTAGCCCAAGAACCAGTTATGTGTAATGATGCTGAGGCAGTGGTAGTTGTCAGAACTAGTTTTAGGGGAAAGTTGTTGAGTTCACATGTATCTCCAAATCAATAACTGCAGCAAGGGGCATTGAGTTAAAGAGAATGTGCAGCTTGGCATCCAACTTCCAACTCAAACCTTTAGTTTGAATAATTGTTTCTGAAATTATGTTGGGTTGAGATTGTCCTTTACTTTCAAAATAGAAGAAAAATTTCTTTTGAGTCTTGTTGTTCTGCCTCTTGCACAGTTAGATTCATAGTTTTGCAGATGCAGATAGATAACTCAACAAAGCTTCCATAACAAAGTTCATTTATTGGTACATCAGGTATCTTCATAACTCACATTTATAACGAAGTTCTTTAATGACCAATCCTTTGTATATCTACCTTGTACGTGAAATATGGTTATTTCCTAACCTATCTCGTAGCGATAGAAGGAAGATGCCATGTGGTAGAGAGTTCAGACAAAGAATAGGAAAACTTAACCCACCAAGGATCAATTCAGTGACCAATCAGGATTACATATGTAGCCACGTGAGATGAACTACATTTCCCAGAATACCTTTAACTACATTTACCATGATGCATTCCCTTAAGGGGACAGCTCACAATTCCTAAGCAACTATCCAATTCCCATAGACTGGCTGGGACAGCACACTTGTCAGCTCTCCTTCCTAACAGTAATATGGGACAAAACAGGATGCAGATAACATTTTTTTTAACCTCTCCTTTCTTGAAGTTAGCAATTTTTTCTTCAAAATAAATAAAGTGTTATGCACTGGACATGCTGCAAACTTTTAAACTCACTTGGTTTAATCACTGTCTACTAGGATGGAACAGAGCGAACAGACATGGAACAAATTAAAATCACTGTCTTGCCCTGGTTTACACAATTTGGTTTACAAACATTAAAGCCGAGAAGCAAATAGCAGAAACTAAGCAAAGTACATTATGGCTTAAGATGATGTATAAATCTAATTAATATGCAATTTATTTATTTTTGCAATTGTAGAATTACTTTTATTATAACTATAGTTATTACATTAAATTACATGCATTACACTATTAAGTACTAAAACAATACGATTAATCCTAGTTAAGCCACTTTTATGACAATTTTTAAATGAATTCCCAAGTATAGTCAGAGCTTCTATAGTATTACGTGTATATGTGTATAGTATTAGTGCATGTAATGTTACAGCAAATCCAGCTTTTATTAAAACATTTAAACTGCCTAATATCTGGACCTCTCTGGATGATTTATAATAAAATACATTTAAAAATACAATCTGAATATAAACATAGAATAAAAGCATATAAAATACAAAATTTAAAAAACTATAAACTAGGTAGCAATATGGTGGCATTTAAATTGCTAAGAATTAATATCAAATTAAAAATCAATAAAAAGGCAATTATGTTACATTTTGAATATATCTCATGTTATTTGTCATCATATCTTCTTTGTTTAGATTCATATAACCCAGACCTTGTCTGCATGATGGATGAGTCAATCCAACTTATAATATGGATTAATATGAAACAACTGCTAACATGTTCTTGTCTGCAAAGCATGTAGTAAAGTACATAGAAATGTATATCTAGAGAAACACCTCATACCTCTTTTAATGGAATTATACAATTCAAATAGCTAGTTTTTATGTATCAGATATTAAATTATTCATGAAACAATTTGGACTATTTCAGCAGTGAAAGCCAGTGCATTTTAAAATAATTTTTTATCATGTCAAGATGCAGTTGCCTTAGCAAAGCTAGAATATAAAGGATAACTCTTCTGAACCTGATAATCATTCAGTGCTTCTGAAACTGAAACTAATTCTCAGCCAGCGTGAAAAGCATTAATGAAAAAAATAATACTTTTAAAATAATACTATTAAATGTCCATGCAGAAAAAGTAATGCATTTTTACTGGAAGAACCCAGTAAAAAAAAAAAATCACACTCAGAATTGAAACCATTGAAGCCTGTCTTTGGTGTTACCTGGTTGTACTGAGATGCGTCTATAACAGATCGTGCTGCTGTATTCCCGATTGCTTGTAACTTCTTTATGTGCGCTTCCATGTAAATTAATTGGAATAGTTTAAGAGTAAGATGGTTAAAGTATCAGTGGTTGTGCCACCTCATCCACCACAAATGAGGCAAGCGCCAAAGATGACCAGGGGCAGCCCCACACCTGCCTCGCACAGTTGGTAAGAGAGCCGTACATAGGCCCAAGTCCTTTCTGCAGAATGTTAAATCTGTCACTTTAATCAACTGGACAGCAAACAAGATCAGATAAACAAATTCTACTTCATTGTACAGGAAGTCCTCGACTTACAATAGTTCATTAAGTGATCGTTCAAAGTTACAATTACGATTACAAAAGTGATTTATGACAATTTTTCACACTTAAGATCATTGCAGCATCCCAATGGCCTTGTGATCAAACTTATTTATGATGGTTACAGTGTCCTGGGGTCATGTGATCACCTATTGTGACTTTCTCACAAGTAAAGTCAATGGGGAAGCCATACTCACTTAATAACCATGTTTTTACCTTAATAGTTACAGTAGTTCACTTGACAACTGTTGCAAGAAAGGTAATGGGGTAAAATTCACTTAACAAATGTCTCACTTAGCAACATAAATTCTGGCTCAATTGTGGTCATAAGTCGAGGACTACCTTTATTTTATAAAGGCATTTTTTTTTAAAAAAATTGTTCCATTCTAACAATTTTCAGAAATCATTGTTTCAACTGTGAAACTTTCTCTTTCAGATCTGTTTTCTCTTGTTTGCGATATTGTATATTGTTTCCTACTTCATTATTAGAAGATACAAGAGGAAAGCAGGTAACGTATCATATTTGTATATTTTCTATAATAAATTATAATAAGCTGGAAAGTGTTCTGGAAAGGATGCACATCTATTTATGAAATAAATATTTTGCTATAATTGCATGTAACTGAAAACTTCAAACAAATTCCATCACCATGTTCTTATCTTTTTCCAATTTATTATAAGCCTTTTCAGTTTATTTACTTTTTTAAAAAAAAATATTTTTCCTAAAATACATTTTCTGAGAGACCACACTGGGGAAATGCTGCTGTGTTTATATCCTGCTTGTATGTAGAGTTAGAGACCACCTATTTTTCTTAAGTAATTCATTAATTTAAGTAATAACTTTAGGCATGGCTTATGAATCCCACCATCAGGGATTCACTGTTCCTAAAACTTCCTATTAACTTATAAATTCCTGTTTGCTATGGGGGACAAATTCTGTATACTTTTTTTTATACCTTTAAGAGAAAAAGTGGAAGCAAAAAAACTTTGCAGGAGATATTCAGTCTTTCCAGTCTTCCCATTTTTCTGTCTACACATGCAGTTTCTACATACGGCCATAATGAAACCTACCTATTACAATTGTATATTGTAACAGTGGTAAATTGGTCACAATCCATTTTATGACTTTTTTGTGGTGTTTGTTAAATGAGCCAATGGTTCGTTATGGGTGTGATTTTCCTGAAAACCAGAAGCACTGGGTTTTGGCAAAATGATCATAAAACACAATCAATCACGTGGCCAGGAACGCTGCAAATCACCTAAAATGTGGCCATATTGCCAAGGGCCCAAAATTAAATCATGTGACTACAGAGGGGGTTCAAGCATCAAGACTTTAAATCTGGGTTATCCCTTTATGGGTCAGTCATAACTTTCAAAGTCTATCTGTATTGGAAAATTGAACTAGGATAGCCATTGCCTATTTAAACTAAAGCTTTTTTTGCATATATGCTTACCGTTGACAAATTGTTTATAACTCTGTTAGCACCCTATTGTGGTTGGGTGGAATCAAATAATTTGTTCCAGTGTTTGAGGAGTTTAAGAAGTCCTTATTGTCAGTTCTATGAGTAAAACAGGAAATTGAAGTAGTATTCCATAGGAATATTAGAACCGTACTTAATTGCTATAGGCTGCAGTAATAGAATCTTGCAAATTTACCTGTGTTTTCTCTTCTCTTCTTGTAAACACCCAGGGAGTTATATTGAGTCAGTCTTTCTTACTTTTTTCTGCCCTAGACTTAATGCATGCTTCTTCTGGACCTGTAGTTCTCCCATGAGCTGTTCAGAGCATCCAGAAGTGGAAGATGCTTCAGTCTCTTCTGGAAAGGCTGGGCTTAAAACTCCAGGACGCTCCTCCTCCTCCACTGGACATCTCCTCAGCATCCCCCAGTTTTAGCTTAGCCTTTGTGGTAAGAGGTTGTGTACTCCTGACTGGAACGGTTTCTGATTCAGCTAGTCAAGATTCAGGTTTGCTCTTAGGTTAATTTGGCTGGCAAATTTCCCCCCTATTAATCTGGCGATTTCAAGGCTTGTGGCTCTATTAGATTATCACCCAGATCAGTTGAGAGCAGCTCTTTGTGACTGGCCACTTCGCAGGCAGTCTGAGACGGCCGCTTCAGGCAATTAGCCTATCTAACTCCCCAATCGTCTTATCTTTGCGATCTTGCTGGAATGCTCGCAGCCGCGGCTCACTTCTTACAGGATCATTTGTCTGACATTTTGGAGAGTCAGCAGCAGCGGCTCGTAAAACTGCTCAGGCATTTAACATCGGAGTTTCTGCCTTCCCGCCTTTTTAAACGGCTGGCTTCAAATTCGTGCCTAAATATTACAGGTGCCATTCCCTGCTGGTTTCCCTTCTTGGGGACCGGGGCAAGTACTTTCCCACTCCACTTTCCTGGGATTATTTCTCTCTTAGCCTGCTGGCGTTGGATAAGCAGGCTAGTCCTTAAACAGGATTCCCCCCCCCCCCCCCGCAATTGCTTTTGGATCGTTACATTGGAGCGAAGCCTCAGGTGCCATTTCAAACAGTGGGATGTTTTTGACAGGAAAGGATCCATCCAGGACCTGTATAGCTGGTTTCCCTTGTTGGGGACCAGGGATCCTGAATATTTCTTGCTTGGAGTGTTTGGGGGGTTTCCCTTGCTGGGGACCCTTAGATACTGTTTCCCATATATACGGGCTTACATATAGATATAGGCATATGTATATATATGTGTGTTTATATATAGAGATATATATATAGACTTACACTCCTGGAGAAGTGCCCTACTTTCAACCACAGGGGTAGGCACCACCCCTAAGTACAAACAATAACAATAACAATAACAATAATAATAACAACAATAATAATAATGAAGTTAGAGACACAAGATTCAGTCCTCTACAATGGAAGGTGACAACGTCTTCCGCTCCAAGACAAATAAGTCCCGAGATAAGTCAGTGGGCCCCAAAAAGGCCTCTAAGGCGGCAGATAAAAATGCCCATAAATGGCACCAAGCCTTGGAAAGGCAGTGGCAGAAACGGACCAGGGAGGCGGACAAGATGGCTATGACACCACAATCGGATCAGGGCCCAAGTACATTGTTGGTGCCCTTGGACTTATCCACCCAGCCCAGACAGGCTATTTCTGGACAGCCTCCCATAGGCATATCTCCTCCAATGAGGACTGCCCGGCAAATCCCAGAGGCAACCTTCACCCCTACGGCCGCCGGTTTAAGACAGGAGGAGGGATTACCTGAGACTATTCCCATCGAAATGAGGCAATGGATGGAGATGGCCACACAAAAGGGCATTGTGGCTGGAGTTCAGCAATCCATCCGGACCAGACACTTTTTGGCTACTTCGGAAGCGGGATCCCTGTCTGCTCGATCCTTTGCGCATATGGGACATCATCAAACTCAGGTATTCCCCAATATCCCTGACATACCAGCCCAGGGTCTTTGGGAGGAGGTGGAATTAGATGACCAGGATGTTCCCATGGAGGTGGGGTCGATCCATCAGATGGACTTGGGGTTGTCAGAGGCTGACCCGCTAGAACGAGGAATGTCGGATGATGAAGGCCTCATTCCAGACCAACTTACCTTTTCTGGCCTTTTTCGTCCGCACTTCTTTAAATCTTTACTGTTCAAAGCAAAGAACACCTCTAAACTAGGCACATCAAGCCCTCATCCATTGTCAACAGGGTCTCAGGACGAATCCGAGGATCTAATATTCTCACAACCGGCTAATGAGGCAGAAACTATTCCTGTCCCTCGTATGTTTGCTGAATTAGTACAAAATCAATGGGCATCAGTAGCATCCTACCCAGCCCCAACAGAGTACGATAAACGATATTATAATTTGGCACCAAAGTTTTCAAATGTTCTCAAAACGCCGGAGGTGGATGAGCCCATTGTGGCACTGGCCTCTTCTTCAACCTTTCCCAACGAAGCCAAGGAAGCCCTGAGACCGGAGGAAAAGAGAGCAGAGTTGGCACTCTGTAGGGCGCATGTTTCTGACGCCTGGGCCATTAGGGCAGCTACAGCTGCGTCCTTTTTTACACAGTCCTCCCTATGATGGCTCTTTCACTTGAGGGATATATTGCCGGCGTCAAATGTCAGAGCCCACCAGGACATTGCTAAGATTATTGCAGTGGCAGAATTCTCTGCCGACGCCACATTTAATGCAGTCAAATTCTCGTCTAGAGCCATAGCATCTCACGTATCAGCACGGAGACTGCTATGGCTCAGACATTGGCAGGAGGATACCAAGCATAAATGCAAGCTGGCATCAGCCCCAATATCGGGGGATAAATTATTTGCCAGTGTCTTGGAGCCCCTGCTTATTGAGAATAGAAACAAGAAAAAAGTGCTTCCCCCTCTTTTTCGGAGGTCTGAAAACAGAATGCCCCAGTTGTTTCAAAGGGGTTCCTTTTGGACCTACTATCAAGGCCCATACGTTCCCAGATCGCAAAGAACATCAGGCTACAGACCCAGTTTTAGACAGGATAGGTCGGAATCTTCCGACAGAGGTCAGCGGGGAGGCCAGAACAGAAGAAACCCCAGAGATACCGGAGGCCAATTTTTTTGTCGCCCCAAGTGAGTCCTTGACAGCAACTCCCATTGGAGGGCAGCTAAAATTGTTTGCTGATCAACGGGACAGCTCCACCTGTGATGCGTGGGTCAGGGACTCTGTTAGGTTTGGTTTGGTACTAGAGTTTCAATCCTCCCCTCCGAACTTTTTCATTAGGAGCCCTAGGTCCACGGACCCCATTAAGAGAGCGTTGATGCAGGAGGCTATCAATCATCTTCTGCATATTCGGGCCATTAGAGAGGTCCCATCTGAACAATGGGGTCAAGGCTGTTACTCTCTATTGTTTGTGGTCCCAAAGAGTTCGGGGGCCTGGAGGGCAATTCTGGACCTCAAATGTCTGAACAGATCATTGGTTTCTCGAAAATTCAAAATGACTACTCTACAGTCCATTCTGCTCAGCATCAGAGAGAATGATGTCGTGACCTCTATAGATCTGACAGAGACTTATCTACATATACCAATTAGACCTGCTCACTACAAATACCTTAGATTTTGCTATTGTGATCGGCACTACGAATATATCGCCCTACCATTCAGTCTGGCTTCGACCCCTAGGACTTTTACCAAGGTCCTAGCGGCTTTGGCTGCCTCCCTCAGGATCAAATCTATTTGTTTACAATGTTAACTGGATGATATTTTAATTTTGTCATCTTCCAGACATCAAGCAAATTTGGATACCAAGATTACTCTGGAGACCCTTCAAGGTCACGGCTTTTTCATAAATTAGGATAAAAGCCATTTGATCCCTTCAACTAGGTTAGTTCATTTAGGGGCAGTGATAGATACCGTGGAGGGCAAGGTTTTTCTCTCTCAGGACAGGTTGAATAGTATCCAGTCTTTGGCCAGAGAGATCAGAGTCTTAAAGAGGGTTTCCCTGGCAGTTCTGTCTCAACTGTTAGGGAAACTGATTTCTTGTATTTCCATTGTGCCTTGGGCTCGAT